ACACAGCAAACTTCCTCTAAAGGTGGTGGCAGCTGTAAAAGAGAAGGCACTTTGTGCTCAAGTTCCAAGGGTGTCTCATGAGAGAAGGCCACAGCAGGGCCCGCTCAGCCCGAGCTGCAGGCCACGCTGTAGGGTGGAGAGGAACACCCCCCAGGAAGGCATCTGCAAAGGAAATATCTGTAATCATGGTTCCAAGGCAAAATGGTACTTAAAGATAGGAGAGAAGAAATACCGAGAGAGAAGACAAAACACAGCTGAGCTGCACCAATGACTGAGGAGTGAACGAGACAAAGATCTGAGGCTGGCTCTGCACTTCCCACTGGGCTGGCTCCTTCCCACTTCCAAGCAGGTTCTGGAGACCCGTGGGAGCAGCACCTCAGCCAAGAGGGTTCCAGGCTCCTGCCTGTGCCTGGCTCTCCTTGCTGTGTTCCCAGGAAGAAGCCGAGTTCCTGCTGGCAGCACCTGTGGGTAGTGCTGGTCCACGGCAACATCCGACTCGGGGACTTTCTGAGCTAGCCGAGAAGAGAAAATGAGGTTTTCCATGTGATCGGACTCCGTGGCAATGCCCAACGGCTTTGGGGGCCTTCGAAGAGCAACAATGGATCAAGCTGGTATTCCCCCATCAACACTCCAAAAAGCAGCATGAGTATTTCAGATGGTGGGAGGACAGGCATCAGTGGACTGAGTCTGTGTCCTAGTACCATAAATAAGGTGCAGCACGAATGGAGGCTGTCAGAGCCTCTCGTCGGGGGAGAAACTACCATCACCCCTCAGAGGATGGAGGATCACTTTCTTCAGCAGAACGCTGGCTGCTGAGGCTTTCATTATTGCTTATTTCCTTAGGACTATGGAACTTTCAGCTGTAAAGAAATAGGAAATACTTGGTGGGCTTGGCAGAAAGCATATCACAAAATCATGGGAATTGGCGGATATTCAGTAAGTATACGTTACAATTTCAATAATGTTGGATGATGGCTGTTTTTTCCCCTTCATTCTGATGAACTTAGGAAAACACAAGTTGTTTAAAAAAAAAATCTATCAAATTGGCTCGTGACGCTTCTGAAGAAGCTGCTTATGGCCGACGTGGTCGAACTGGTTGGCTCTGTTCTACAGCTTCAGATGCACTATGAAGAGAATCCACTCACTGTCACATTTCAGGCAAGTTTCCGGGACATACGGGTGGGTTCCATAAGCTTCTTGGAAGCTCTTTCAAAAGTGTGTGAGAGGAACACGTGATGTGTACACAGAACTCTGCTCCACGCAGGGTTCCATCCAAGGGCACTATTTTGCTGCTTTCATGTAGGAAGGTATTGCCCCCCGCGCAGTCAGGCCCTCAAAGCGCTTGTATGTGTAATTGATGAAGACCCAGTCCTTGTTCTTGTAGTCAGTCTCAGGGTGATTACTTGTTGCCACTGGGAAAGAAATAGACGTGAGAGTTGACTCCCTGCCTTACCCCGACAGCCCACTGGGTACTGAAGACATGACGTTCTGAAGAACATACCAGTTTTCTATCTGGGAAAAGCTATTTTTCACTCAGGGTGAATTTTCTACATTTGCTTGCCTATATGTTCCTTGAACCTCATTTTTTTTCCACATATATTTAAAGCGGTTTATTTTCCCACTTCTGTCATTCCAGGTCACCCAAGCTTTACTGTAATAAACAGCAACAAGAGAGCAGACCTTTGTGACTGGCCCACCCGCTGGGCAGGCTAAGCCCGGGAGCGTGTATCCATCTTCCACGTGACACGGTCTCCCTGCTACCCAGCACAGCACCGGAAATACTTACCAAGAACCCGAAGACCTGAAGTTCCTCTCCACATCCTCTACCCTGATTTGTAAACATCACCCCAAAACGGGGGGTGGGGGGGGTGGAATAATGCACTTGTAAGGCAGCCATAGGCAGAGTTGGTGGTATTACCTGTTGGCTTAAGAATATCAGATTCTGGAAACTCATCGAAGTTTGAGGTATCGTCAATGCTTTTGATTTCAATAGATATTGCAGCAGGTCTCTCTCTGCCAAGAACAGACATGCCAGAATTACTATGGTTAGTAATCAAATGGGTCATAACTCATCAGCCTTCCGCAGAGAAGACCCCGGCCCGGGTCTGACGCGAGAGACTATCCCCGGGCAGGCAGCACTCATTTTCTCTGAAAAGCTTCTGACCACGGACCAACCATACCAACTGACTACAGCCAAACAAAATAAACCACAATGAAAAATATAAATAACAATTATTCATAGCTAGAAAGAACAAGGAGAAATTAAAGTCCAAGCTATGCACCCCCCTGACGACCTGCCCTGCCTGCTAGGAAGGGAGCCTGGGCCTCGGAGAGGCCCCTCCTGTAGGGCTCTGCCCATCCATCCGAGATGCCAACGAGGAGGCGGCACAAAGGAGGCAACAGAAAAAATCACAGGATGCAAGTCAGAACAGTCATGAAACAGATGACAACTTCTTCACCTGCTGTGCAGCAACCACAAACGCGAGTGGCCTGGGCCTGGGCCCACGGCAGGCTGTGCAGGGGCCCGCTGGGCTGGGAGCGCTCCACACACCAGACATTCTCCCTCTCCCTCCACCCCCTCTGGCCACTTCCTGCCCCAGTCCTTCCACTCCTTCCTCCTCCTCCATCTCCCAGAGGCAGTCCCTACCCTCTGGGCAGGGACAGTCATGCTGGTGGTCCCCAACACCAGAGAGGCTGGAGTGTTCCAGGTAAAAGCAAGGACAATACACTTCTTAGATGTTCCCTTCACCATGGAACCCAAAGTTCACTTCACTCTGGGAGTAACTGCTGGCTATCCCATGACTCCGGGCTAACAGGAAGCTCCAATTCCCAGTCCTCAGCATAAACTTACATCAGGAAAATACCCTGAATCTCTAAAAAGATCTCTTCTCTTACTTGGGTTGCCAATACTGGTGCTTCCAAATTAGTATTAAGCTAACTACAGAATTTCTGAAATAATCCTGAAAGTTTTCATATGGATATACCTGATATGTTCCCAGTCAACACCTTCAAAAAAAGAATTACTTTTGATTTCCTCAACTCCAGGGGCTCCAATCCTATGTTCCCATTCACAGCAGAATCTGGAAAAGACAGAAGCCTTTCAGCATACCTCAAGTAGTTTCTTTTGAAGAAGAAAAGGAATAAGCTCCCCTTTTCAAAAAGAGAAATAGGAGGAAGCAGGGTGCAAACCCAGGAAATAATGAAAGATTTAAAACACAGATTCACTGATGTCACAAAGCCTGGGTGGGGGCGGAGGGGGTGCTCTCTGACCGATACCTCAGAATCAGGGCCTTGGCTTTCTCAGAGATGGGAACTTCTGGAGGGAAAGTCAGCGTTTCTTTCCAGTTCATCACCTTCTTGTATGTCTCTTGAGGGGTCTCAGAACAGAAAGGTGGGTAGCCTGTAATAAAAAGGAACCTGGAGCTTTCACATCGCAGAGCGTTGAATGTGAGATTATTCTCCTTAATACAATTCTCTATATCTTTAATGATCTTGTTATGTCCTTCCCCCATGACATCCTAAACAATATTTTATCTTCCCCGAACTCCTAAACCCAAAGTAAAGTGCTCTTGGAACCACTAGGGAGCCAGCTAATAACTGGATCTGGAAAAAGAAAGAAGTAGACTTACAGATGCAGGAACCACTGTGCCCAAAGAAGAAATGAAAGGATGAAACAACATTACTAAGAAACGCCTCACCCTGGCTGGGTGGCTCAGTTGGTTGGAGCATCATCCCGAGCAACAAAGGGTTTCAGATTCAATTCCCGGTCAGGCTGCGGTTTCTGTCCCAGTCGGGGAGTGTACAGGAGGCAACCAATCAATGTTCCTCTCTCACATCAATGTTTCTCTCCCTCCCTCTCCCTTCCTCTCTCTAAAATCAATAAACATATCCTCAGGTGAGGATTTTTAAAAGAGAAAAAAAGAAACTACTCCATTCTAAGAACATCCAAACAAGTAGAATAAGAAAAAAGCATGGGTTTTGAAAGTGACCCCCATCCCTCTTTGAGAACCACAGGCACGAAGATAAATGCAAATCATACTCCTCTCCCTGCCCTCCACACGACACCCACTCCAGAGGCCTCCATCCAATGCTCCCAGAGACAACACAGTCAGACAGAGGCCTTGCCTGTTGTCCACACAGACACACTCAGTGCCCCCACAGACACACTGACTCCCCTAGTGCCCTCGTGCATGGGACCACCCCGCTGCTGTGTCCCCTAAAGGAGATCTACCATCTGAATAAGAGGGAGAGATCAGAGGGTTCCATGCTTTGAAGACCCCGAGAGACGAAGGGGACAGAAAATAGGAAGTAAAGAGTGTGTGAGGCACTACCCAGGTACAGCTCTCTGCATACAATGACTGTTTAATAAATGCCAGTGACTGAAAGAGCTGCTGGATGGAGAGGATGCAAAAGCAGAAGAAAAACATGATAAATGATCAGCAAAGCAACCACAGGATATCACTGTGCCAGAGAATACAGTAGGATGCATTTTTTGGCCAAGAGTTTTCTACTTGGGAAACTACTTTGAAAGATGGGGGAGGGGAGAGCACTTAGATCAACCTCAAATTGAAATGGGAGTTTATTATCACTGTAGGACTCCTTCCTGGCCACACAGAAAAAGCCAACTGAAAGCATACAACTTACCAATGAGCATCTCATACATGATCACGCCAAGCGACCACCAATCACAGAGCTTGTTGTACCCGGTCTGCATGAACACCTCGGGAGCAATGTAGTCAGGCGTCCCTACTGTGGAGAAGGCCTGAAACACGTACCACACATCAGGGAGGCCCAGCAGGCAGGAGGGTGCCAGAGTTCTGTTCTACAGACCAGAGGCCCCAGCACCATCTAGGGCAGGGGTGGGGAACATCCGGCCCACAGGCCATGTAAGGCCCATGAAATCATTTGGTCTGGGCCTGCCAAGGCATTAGGGGTGACTTAATTAAATGTTTGACCAAAGACAGCAGGCTAATTTTTAAGTTGATCATTGTGTATGGCCTGTGAATGATGTTATAAATATCCAAGTGGCCCTGGGCAGGAAAAAGGTTCCCCACCCCTGGTCTACAGCTACCCACAAACCAGACATGCAGGAAGGCCTCGCTGCTTAATGGCAAACCTGACTTGCCAGAGCACTTCCAAAATGAACACTAAAGCTGTCAGTGAGGGAGGGACCCAAAGCCTACTAGTCATGACAGGTACCTATCATGACAACTAGTCACAATTTCCTGAGCATCCAGGAAGGGCCAGGCTCTGTACTTCTTATATGCTTATGAGACTATTTAGTCCTGACAAAACTCAGCAAAGAGGACTTTATTAATCCAATTTTGCAGATAAAAAAAATCTGACGCCCCAAATGGCTTTGCCCAAGGTCTCAGAACGAGTTAAGTGGCAGAGTGCAGCTTGAAAATTCTCTTGCTCCAAACCATCCCCCCTTTCTACTATATCCATTCTTTGATTTGAGAAAATCAAAAAGGGAAGTTTTATTATTAAAAGCTAAAGGTGCCGAACCGGTTTGGCTCAGTGGATGGAGTGTTGGCCTGCAGACTCAAGGGTCCCAGGTTCGATTCCGGTCAAGGGCATGTACCTTGGTTGCGGGCACATCCCCAGTGGAGGGTGTGCAGGAGGCAGCTGATTGATCTCTCTCATCGATGTTTCTAACTCTCTGTCCCTCTCCCTTCTTCTCTGTAAAAAATCAATAAAATATATTAAAAATAAAAAAGCTAAAGGTATATCCTATAGGCCAAAGGTTTATAAATGTCTATTTACCAAACTTAACTATGTCTATGAGTAGTTGTGAGAGGAGTGTTTATAAATGCAAGGAATCTCGTCTCGTGCCCCCGGACTGCAGTCCTGGGGGAGCACAGCCACGCCTGCCAGTGTGCTCAGCACCGGAGCGGGGACCAGCTGGAAGGCTCCACTCGAGGTGCTTTCCTGTTACATAATTTCCAACATTAAAAGTACAGCTGTGTTGGTTTTTAAAAATATTTATTGTGAAATACTGCAAACATACAGAAACAAAACACAAACAACACACAAGTAATTATTACCCATCTTAAAGAGAGGTTAAATAATCTGCCATATTTGTTTTAGCTCATTTGTCTTTTTTTTTAAAAGTGAAACTAAAAAAAGACTGAAGCCAGATCCCCGGTCCCTCCCTCCACTAAAATTAAAACCACCCTGAAGTTGCTTGCTATGCTGGTATGAATATTCATGCAAGTGACATATTACTTCCTGTATATTTCAACTTTTAATAAAGGATTTCACACTGATCTGTACTATTTTACAAGGCTTGCTTGTTTTACTCCAATTATACACGAGATTAATTCACGTAATTCTTTCACTCATTTTACTACTGTATACTTTTTCATTACACAAATGTCATGGTGTTGTTTTTTTATTCATTCTCCCGTAAATGGACACTTATATTGCTTCCAATGTTTCACTAAAACAAAAACACCTGAATGAACATTCTTGTATCACTTCCTGGGCACTTGTGCAAAAATTTCACTAGAGGATGTAAGAGAAATAGTATCACTGGACTTCTACTTAATTAGCCGTCTTCCAATTGTCCTTCCATGTGGTTATGCCCATTTAATCACCCCAGCGGGGAGCAGCTCCTGATGTTTCATATCTCACCCATACTTAGCTCTGTTGAACTTTTTAATTTTTACCAATCTGATGAATATGATATGGATCTCAGTGTTTTAATTTGCATTTCCCTTATTTTCAGTAAGTCTGAGTGCATATTCCTATGTTAATTAGCCATTAAGGTCTTTTTTTTTTCCGTGAATTCCTTGGAGTTCAGATCCTTTGCCCATTAGTTTTTTTTTTTCAGTTGCATTATCTTTTTTCTTACTGATTCAGAGGAATTTTAAAAATAAATCCAGGGCATTAATCCTGATTCAGGACATTATTCCTTTATAGTTTCACATATTGCAAATATCTTCTCCCAGTTGGAGGCTTATCATTTATTGATTTTTTTAAATGATGCAATATTTGTCCATACCAAAAATGTGTAATTATTGAGTTATAAAGCATAATAATGAAAACAAATACTCACGAGTTCAACTGAAAAACCAAAATATTACCAATAACATTAAAACTAAAAGTGTACTCATCCCATTTCACCCCATCCTCGGGCTCTCCTAAACTCTATATGCTCAATTTTATGTTTATCATTCCTCTGCTTTTAAAAAGAAATTTAATTTTTTGCCATCTGTCTCTCTAAATCATTTTTAGTTTTGTTTTTGAGCTTTGTAAAAACAGCATCATTCTACATGCAGCCTTCTGCTATTTGATTTGTCCTCTGAATGTTTTGTTTCTAAAACTGATCCGTGATATCACATGTAGCTGTAATTCAGTTATTTTCACTGCTATAAAATATTCTATTCCAGAATGTAACCAGTTTCCTGTAGATGGACAGAACCACTGAGTAATTTCCATGGTATGGGGTTTGTTTGTTTTTTTGCTATTATGAAAATGCAATAAACATTCTTTGGCGTGTCTCCTGGTTTACAGGTACAAGCATTTCTCCAAGGCACATGACTAGGGGTGGAATTGCTGGGTTGCAGGATAGGCACGTGAATTGCAAGACAATTCCAAAGTAGTTGGGCCACATGACTTATCTTCTCCTTTATGTCTTTCAACATACAGAAAGTTGTGTGTGTTTTTTATAAGCAGTAAAATAAAACACACTTTCTTTATGATTTGTATTTCTTTTATATTTGAGAAGTCTTTCTTTACTCTGAGGTTATAAAGATATTACAAGTATTTGCTTCTAAAATTGTCAAAGTTTTACTTTTCATCTACAATTTATTTTGTGTATACTGTAAGACAGAAATCTACTTTTCCACATACATAATTACACAGTATTTTCTTTAACAATACATATTAAATAACAAAATGCCAGTTTTATTTTGTTTTAAAGCTTGAAGTCTAAAACATGGATTGGGCCCCAAGAAGAAACCCTTCAATTTAGGGACTAGATTTATTCCAGCAAAGCTGAATACTAAGTAAACCTTATTTGTTCAAAGATTTCTATTACGAAACCAGAGATCTATTGCCACAGGAAAAGAATTACTTCAAGATACTAAGACATTAAAAGACTCCTGAGGTTATAAAGTACAGCCAACAGCAGGCACAACCCTGTGATAGACGCAGCTGGGATTAGAATCCAGCCTCAGGAGCTCACTCTCCTTTTAACAAACTGGTCGAGGGACTGCCCCTTCCCAAACTTTTGTCTGTTTTCCATACTAAGGTGTCCTCCATACTAAGCTCTTAATACCTCAAATCTGTATCCTTTTTCTTTTTGGTCTCTGGATATTTTTAGTGTTAATTAGAGCTGAACTTTTAAGAGCTCTGTCGGTTGTTTATAGTCATTTTCAAACACGACATGTTCCAACTTATTATTTCATTTAGGATTTTGGGGAAAATAAAGCAATTTCACTTCCTACTCAAACACTTCGATAACTTCTACACTAAAAAAATAAATACATTGGCAAAGATCGGATGCCTAGATGCACTTCAACTCTTACCTCTGTGGTTAATAACTTAAAGCTGACTCATACCTATTTCCTAATCAGTTACTAGGCCTAAGGTTACCCAAGACCACAAAGCTATTTAAAACATTACAATATAATTTAAGCAGCCAAGGAGTGATCCTTAAACCTCTACTTTATTCAGGTCTGCATATATGCATAACCCTTGGACACAGACAGTAGGGTGGTGAAGGCGTGGGGCAGGAGCGGGGTGCAAGGGGTCGGTCAATGGGGGTGGGGGAAAGGGGACATATGTAATATTTCAACAATAAAGATTTTTAAAAAGAAAAAGAAAGAACAGTAATAGGGTGGGTGAACAATATGATAGGCTTAACCTAGAGCAGTAAATCTACATTAAGCATTAACTAATATTAACCTCCTGTTTGGTTCTGGCTGAATGGGATCGCCTATGAAAGGTCAAAAGCACAGGGTTAATTGACCTTGTGAAGACTGAGAAGTAGTTTTATTTTCTTCAAGTTATCAAAATTGATAATATGAGGATGACTTTAATACATTCCCATTTCTACCACAGATAAAACAAAAAGGTCAGAACATTAATCACAGCATGAGAACCTTAGTTTACTAAGATTTTTAAAAACTACAAAACATTTGAACTATTAAAGGACAGTGAATTCCAAATACAGCAACAGTGAGCTCCCCTTCCTTACAGACCTGTAAGTGGTTCCTAGTAAGCCTGACATGACCCTCTGTGCGTGTCAAAGAGCATTAAGCCCGTCTCAAAGTATAAGAATAATTGAAGGTACTTAAGCTTAATTACCCCCAAAATAAATATTAGTACAGCGGCCAAAGGTTAAATATTGGCTTGCTTTTATTTAAAAAATTAAAAATCAAAGAAGATTCCTTACCTTTTGTTAGCTTCCAAAACATAGGTAAATGTCAATGTCCCAATAACGCAGAAGCTATTGTTAAGAAATAGTCTCAACCTTCACTGCACAGGGTAATCACCCAGAGTCCTTTTGAAAATCAGATACCCAAACTCTATACCCGAAACTAAGTCAACCAGAATCTCTGGGGTGCACCCAGACACCAGGATGTTCTGAAGTCCCAGGTGATCCTGATGTGCAGCCAAGGTAAGATCTGCTCTATGGAGAGACACAATAGAAGCACCTGGCCAGATCTGTTCCGACATTCCCTAACCCTCACCAAGCTATGGAAAGTTTTTAACCACATACAGAATTTAGACATTTAAAGAATATCAGAGTTCCTAAGCAATAGAGACTACGATGTCACTAACTACCCTGATTATCAAATATTAATTTCAGTTACTGTATCTCCAAAAGTATTTGGGTTAAGTTATTGCCTCTCCCAAGGCCCAGGTTTAACATAAAAATCATAATACGCAGAAAACATAGTCTGAGCCCACATATGGGCCTCAAGTAAATTTTTTTTAAAAAGCAAGCCTTCCTTTGATTCTTTCTCAAACAATTCTACAGGCTTCCATTTTCACATGACGGGACAGCTACTTACTAGTGACCTACTAAGTCAGTCATTAAAAACACTGTAGAGAACTCTAATTCAGTATTTTACCAAGAAATTTGGCTGAAAACCAGGATCCAGCCCACCTGCCAAGTTACTATTGTATCTGTATACGTCAAGCAGAAGTGCCACCATGTCTATGTAATACGCACGCATGCTCATCACTCCTAGTCAGTCACAGCCTTCCACTGCTGCTGCTCTTGCTTTCTAATGGGCAGCTTTTAGTTCAGCTCTACCATCATCAACCTCATTTGCTGCAGGTTTCTAGCAAAGCCTAAGTATGCAGTGATTCACATTTCTATTAATTTCCCAATAACTAGACAGTAGGACATGTACATTGCACTTCAAATATAAACTAATGAATCAGAATAAAAGCTTGCTAATAGCAACATTTCACTGGTGAATTTGTATCATTTAAATAACTTCCTACATACGATCAAGATAAATCCAATGTTATTTTTTAAGCCTGTGACACATAATTTTATGTGTATTTGCTCCAATATCTATAAAGTAAGTAATAAGCATTTCCCTTAAATTTCTCTCCAATTTTAAACACCTGGTTCTTTTTCCTACCACAAAAGAGAAAAGGGTGGGGCAGGTAAATCGAGGAGTAATGACTTGCTGAAGTGAATCAAAATTTTAGAAGTTTGTGAACCATTATTGTCTTAAAGCTCTGGGGAGATATATGTGCTTAGTTTCATTTTGAGACCTGGAGCTTAAATATGACCGTTTTACCATCATAAAAATAGGGAAATGGTGGGAGAGGAAAGAAAGGGGTTGTCACCAATGTAAAGGTCAGAATGAGGTCATCTACTGAAAATGACACAACCAAAACAACCTAGTATCATCTGCTTCCAAATGACAACAGTACGCTATTAAGGTCATCTTAAAAGCAAGGGATAGATGTGCTGCAAATCTATGTGCATATTTATCAAATGCAAATTTATGTGCATATTTTTTAACATATTCATACTTGGCTTGTAGCATTTAAGAAGCTACAGAGATTACTTACTAGCTGACGTCTATTTCTTTTCCAGGTTTCTGCTTTCCTTTTGGAATTCATGTTCTGGAAAGCTAAAAGTAGAGAAAACAAGTTCTATTCAAAGTTCAGACAGGAATGTTTACTACTTTTTTTGGCTCTGGTCCAAACCACATGAGCCCTAAAGTCTGCCAACACATCAGTAACTTTGGATGACACATTTCCCAGCAAGCATTTGTTCAAAGAATCACACAATGAGATCAAACAGCACTTCCATATGGATCATGTGGCTACAGAGAACACAGGCCAGTCTTGATCAGAACTACAGGGAATTTCATCAGAATCACCGGAAATTCGGTCTCATCAGAAGCAAAGGTCCCAAAATGGACCTAAAACATTTACAATTTCTCAAAATTACCATCAAATTTCCAAGAGCAGTAATTGTTAATCAGAGATTCCAGGGTTTATAATACATTATTTGATATAAGCTCTCTAATATGAACGGTAGTTTTACTATATAATTTCAGTGGTTTGATTGATAGTGAAAGTAACACTCATAAAGATAAATTTCTTTCTGCCACGACAGAAAGAAGCATGTAGGATAAATCTGTTCTGGAATTGTTCCCAGGACTTCCTCCTCCACTGCCCCAAATTCCTCCCCAGGAACCTTCTCATAGAGCTCCAAAGCAAGCTCTTTACGACATCCGTCTTAACACATTGGGGGCACTTCTCTGGCCTCACTACACAAGTACAAGTCATTTCACTCTCTAAAGGCTCCAAGGGCCCTCGCTGGTTTGGCTCAGTGGATAGAGCGTCGGCTTGCGGACTGAAGGGTCCCAGGTTCGATTCCAGTCAAGGGCACATACCTTGGTTGCAGGCTCCTCCCTGGTCCAGGCCCTGCTCGGGGTTTGTGCAGGAGGCAACCAATCAATGTGTTTCTCTCATATCGATGTTTCTCTCTGTCTTTCCCTCTCTCTTCTACCCTCTCTAAAAAGTCAATGGAAAAATATCCTCGGGATTAAAAAAAAAAGACTCCAAGGGAGACTCTCCTAATCTGTCCTGCATATTCTGTTACCAGGGACATATTCTGTTACCAGGGACCAGCTCTACTAGGCCAGTTAAGGAATAACAAGGCTGACATCACTGTTCACACTTACTGAAATCACTGGGAAGGCTGTGGTTCAAATTCCTATAAAATTCTGTCCTGTGTGCTTTCTTCAGGCCTGTGCAAAGGCCAAAATCAGAAAGTTTCACATGGCCCTATGGGGAAGAAGAGACCACGATGAGCGTTCGTGGATGTGGAACACAGCAGTATCCTCGTAAGATCACCCCAAGTTCTATTACACTAATAAAAGTATTTTCAATTTTGCATATTGTCTTTATTTTTGTCTAAATATGAACGTTTAAACATAGCTGAACCCTCCATAGCATCTAAAGAGAATTTCACTTCTTATATATATATAGTCTTAGAAATTACCATTTTTAATGTTTACAGATAATACTCAAATGACTTAGTACATCGCTGCTTACCTAACATCCCCCTCATACTTTTGCTCACTTCACCCCCAATTCTTCCCTCTCGCTGCAACGTGGACTACAAGCACCCCGGTGCTGTCTCACTCATAACTCTGAGGCCACACTTCTCAGACTCAGAGTTGT